CCTCTGCCTGAAACTCCCTACCCCTTCCTCCTTCCCCTCCCTCTGTCTGGCTCCTGCCTACTCTCCTCCCACGAGAACTTATCCCGGACGTCCCTTCCCCCCCCCCCCCTTCCCCCCCCCGGCCCCTTCCCCCGGGCCCCCCCCTCTAAAGGGGGCTTCCCCCCCCCCCACCCCACTCCATCCCCTGCACACCTACACTCTGCAGGGGAACTTCCCTCCCTGCCGGCTCTCTCCCTCCCTGCTGCCTAGTCCAGGGTCTGGGACATAATAACAGCTCAATAAACATGTGTTGACAGAATTAATGAGTTACTCAATGAATGACTTCTGGATACAGGGGCCAGGCTCATAACTGAGTCACAGGGCCCCAGTCACCATGCTTTGCCCCCACCCACTGACCTGGGTGAAACCCTGCCCGTGATGACATCACTAGCTACCCTCAATTCTCAGAATCACCCATGCCTTCTTCTTCTCCTTTCGCTCCTGTCAGCTTCGCAGCTCCTCCCCCTCCTTCCTTTTCTTCCTTCTCTGGGGGTGGCACATCTAAATAAGGCAGCACTCCCCCAGGACCTGTGTATTGTCATGATTTTCACCCAGTTATGACTCCTGGGCAATGGTGAGGTAGAATCCCGAGCTCTGTCCCCAGATGAAAGGTGCAACAGGTGCAGCTCCTGTGGGGCACCTAGGGTTGGACAGACACAGAGACCGTTGTAGACGAGGGACTGTCGTGCTCTCCAGTAACGGAGGGGGGCCTGCGAGGACACAGGTGGGGGAAGGGGGCAGATGTTTCGCATGGGGTGTGGAACCTGGCAGAAGGTTTTGGCCACATACCAAGGCATCTCTGGTCCTGGCATGGGTGTGGAGGGGGCACCACCCTCGCCCACACGCTCATGCCTGGCTGCCTACCATCCCTTGGGGAGGGCAATCACCCTCCTCCAACCCAACGCAGACGATCAGGCAGGAGCCCAAAGGGGACTGCTCCAGCCACGAGCCCTGGCCAACTGCCTCTTCCATTTCCTTTTGCCCCTCCTTTCCTTTTTCCTAAGACTCCCCCCATTCCCCCGTTTCATGAACTGTCGGGTTGTGTTTTGGCATAAGTAAGGAGGGGCTGGCCATTCAGAGTATGCCTCTGTATCACTGCTATTCTCCCGTCACGTACTTTTCCATGAGAATGAAAAAATAAATTAGGACTCTGTTTCTGGAAAATTGATGTTTATAGGATCATAGAACAGATGGGATATTTGTAACTCTTTTTTAAAAAATACCACAAATATTTGAATAGAAGGCAGCTTCTGAGGCTGGAGAAAAATAATATTATGACGAATAAAAAGACCACTACCTCATGTATCAGGTGGAAAATGTATGGCAAGAATTGACCCCAAGAGGTTGGTTTATAAATAAGTAAAACTAAATAAACCCAAAAAGGGTAGATAAATCAAAGTATGCTTCTTTGTAGGTTCTTTTTTAAAAAAAGATTTTATTTATTTGTTTATTTATTTACTTATTTATTTATTGAGAGAGAGAGAGGGTGCACGCACCAGTGGGGGGAGGGGCAGAGGGAGAGAAAGAATCTCAAGCAGACTCCCCGCTGAGCACAGAGCCCAATATGGGGCTCAATCCCGCAACCCTGAGATCATGACCTGAGCCGAAACCAAGAGTTGGACACGCAACCAACTGAGCCACCCAGGCGCCCCGTTTCTTGCTAGGTTCTTAAGGGGCAGGGGGACACTGGTTGGCCACACAGCAGCACCCCCAGCCCCTCCTTCTCACACTGCATCCCTGTGCCTCCTTGGAGGGAAGCCCTGGAGGGGAGGGGCTGGGTACATCATCCTCTCCCAGTCCCCAGTGCCTGGCACAGGATCTGCCGCAGTAAGTTGGGTGATCATATAATTTATCAACCAAACTGGGACACTTCAAGAGTGAAAGGAGGAGGTTAATAATTATGTCAGGACAACAGTTGTAATTTGGGAATAATGAATAAATGAATGAATGAATGAATGAATCTTTAAAAGGTTGAAACTGTTGGCACTGAGGCATCCATGGCTGCCTACATCCATGGATGGTCACTGTCTCATAGAAGATTCCACTGTGCGGACAGTGTGGACCACAGTGCATGTTCAAGCCCGTCTCTGTCTTTCTCCTGCAGGCAAGAACTCCCACAACAGAGGAGGCTGAGCTGGGGCTGAAGGGCCATGCTGGTGCTGCTTGGAGTCTCCTCCACTGGGAGCATAGCTCGCCTGGGCGCCGGGCGCTGAGCTGTGCGCTTTCTGTTCTTTATTGCCTTGAAACGTCACACTGGCCTTAAGAAATGGATACTCTTACTACCTTTTGCAGGTGAGTCACCTGAGGCTTAGAGAAGTTAAATGACGTGCCCAGCATCACACACCTACCAATGTCAGACCTGCAACCAGGCCCAAGTCTGTTGGACACCCAAGCACTTTTAATAGTCCACGGCTGGAGAGCAGTCATCCGGGCCGGGGCCAGGGTTTTGTCTAAATGAGAAGAGTGTGCCCCGCCGGAGGCCAATCCTGTGTCTGATTGCAATCGCAGGGCAGAGTGCTGCATGGGGGCAGTGGCCAGGCCAGGATGGTGAAAAGTAGGCTCTTTGTGGGTCGCAAGCCTTCTGGCCCCTCCGGGGACACCGAGGCCTGAGCGTTGTGCTTGAGTTCTCAAGGCTAGTGTGGGTAGGTCAAGGAGGAGAAGGCAGGCCCCCACCCCTAACCAAGTGCCCTATCAGCCCTTCCACCTTCTGCCTCCTGCCCCCCCCAATTCCCACCCCCAGCTCTTGTTGGGCTGTGGAGTTTCCTTGACACCTGGCCTGATGGTTCTTTCCAGAACAGCCACCTCCATACAGCCCAGTCCCAGCCCATCAGGAGAGCCAGCCCCGTGGTCTGAGAGGCCTTCAGCACAGGGTGAACCACACTGTGCCCGAGATCCTGGGGCAGAGACTGGCAGGGGCCTGGCCAGGCCGAAATGGAGGAGAAGGCAACAGTGCCAGCACCGCTCTTCCCTCATAGAATTCCCAGGTCCCCCTGGGGGGAGGGCTCTGCCTGCTCAGGAGCTCTGCTGGGTGGATGGGGGGCATGAGAGGAGTTGGGCCAGGCTGGGTCTAGGCCAGGAAAGGCCTCAGTCAGGGCTCTGTCGGGCACCCTCTCCCCTCTCCCCCTCCCCCCCCCCCCCCCCCCCCCCCCATCTACCACCTCTGCTCCCCTAGAGTGGCCTTGCCCAGGGCTGCCGGGCGCTCTGGAGACTCGGAGGCCAGGCACAACTGACTGGCGCCCTCTAGTGTCTGCCTCTCAAGGCCCAGGTGCCCCTCTGGGGAGCCGCGTGCATCACACCCCACTCCCCTGTGACAGACTGGGGAGAATCCCCTGGACCCATCATTTATCTTCCATGCCAGGTCACTTCTGAGAATGTGAGGGGGCTCTGTGGTTGGTGCTGCTGGGACGACAGACATATAATGGGACTGTCCGGGGCAAGTCAGGGCATTTGGTCAGAATCGTCCCCCTTCCCCACAGTAGCCATCGGAATCATCTCTGGGAGCCACCCCATGAAGTAAATGAGAAGCTGTGTGAAGTCCTTAGCCCAAGGCCTGGGAGAGTAGGCAATCAATGAACTTGTGATCAATAAGTAACTATGAGCTACACTTGGTGGTAATAACCATCTGGGTGGTTGAGCTCTGGGACCCATTTCCAGAGGGGTAGACAGGGAAAGTTGCATCCGAAGCTCCTTCTGAAGCAGGAAGGTAGAATCCAAGTTCTAGAGTCTGGCACAGAGCAGGAGGGCAGGTCGTGGGGCTCAGCACACATTGACGGATGGAGCAAACCCAGAATATCAGCCTGCGCTTGATCAAGACCTCCCTCCTCTCGCTGTTTCGGGTCTTGCCGGGGAATCCGGAAGGAAAACCGCCCCTCCAGCAAGAGAAGGACATTTTGACCCAGTGCCTCTTCCCCACTGGTTTTGCAGATGAGCCCTCCCTCTTCCCACCTGTTCCTCTTGCACCAGTTTTAGAGATGACTTCTGCTCTGCTGGGCGCCCTTGGTGACTAACACAGGCAAGTGTGTGGGCCGCCACTTGTCCTGGCCTCTACCCCACCTCCCTGCCCCATGTCCTCATCGCTGCCTCGTGGCTTCTGGGGGCAAGGCCTCGGGGAGGTGTGAAGCTGTCCCCCCCACCTCCCCGAGCTCCCTGCCATGGGCATGGGCTGATGCAAGCTGGCAGCTTCTGTGACCCCTGCACCAGGTCAGGCCCAGCACTGGGCTTGAGTTTTACGCTCAGGGAGTTGGCAGCTGGGGTGGGGTGGGGAAGCTGTCACATACGCATAAACAGGGCGGAAGTCTCCAGTGGTCAGAGCCAGGGCAGAGAGCCAGCAGCGGGCTTTGGAGTGCTGGAGAGGGAAGGCACCTTAGGCCCAGAAAGCGGAGAAGATTCTGCAGGATGGGTACAAAAGGTTTCCGCAGGTGGAGGTGGGTGAGGGCAGGACAGGGCTCTGCTTGGGGGCCCCCATGGGGAGGAACCTAGGTGGCACTCTGGTGTGTGTGTATGTGTGTGTGTGTAGGTATGATTTGGGGTGACATATAAGTGATTTTGGTGAAGTCAGTGAGATTTGGAGCTGGGCAAATGTCATTTTGAAGAGCTCTCCTTGGCGTAGGGGTGAGGGGCAGGTACGCGCCTTGTGCAGGAAAGGGAAGAAGACTTGAGCTGGCTTTTGTGTTCCTCAAACCAGTTTGCCCACATCCTTGGTTTCTGTGCCCTGTGAAGGCCCTCTCTGGAGCCCTGCGTGTCTGGGCCTGCGGAGCAGCGATGCCTACGTGAGGCTAGCAGTCTCCCCAGGAACTCCCTGCACGGGGTCCCTGGCCACTGTTGGAGTGGAGAGGCATCTCTGCCCCATCCCCCTGCTGCTCTCGTAGCCCCCACCCTCAGCCAGCAGGCATGGGCTCAGCCCCAAGCAGCCCCCCAGCGTAAGCAGCGCTCCTCTCTGTTGCCCCTTTTCTCTCCTCAGGGCCTGGCTCTTACACAAGGCTTCCTTCTGCTCACACTCAGAGCTTTGCACAACCGGCGACATATACAAGCACTGGGTCTGGAACAAAAGAAAACCTGGCTCTGAGATCAGCCTCTGCCGTCCACCAGCTATGTGGCCTTGAGTAGGTCAAATGCCTTGAGCCTCAGTTAGCTCATCTGCAAATTGGGGATAATAACACTTAATGGGACTTATCTCATGGGGTTGTCATGAGGAGCACGTGAGATGATGCATGTACAAACGCTTTGCGGAGGGCTCCACCAATGGAAGGGATGACTATTGCTGTTTTCATGCCACACATGACCCAAGCAACACTCACCCAAGAAGGGAAACACAGTCGCTGAGTGTGTTCGCTTTACTCCCTCAGTAACTATGAAGCCTACTGTGTGCTGGGCACTGTTCCCAGCACGTGGGATATGCAAACAAATAAAACCCAAGATCCTTGCTGTCTTGGAGTTTGCATTCTAGGGGAGGGGTTCCCCCACACCTCAATCCATCCAGCACACATTTGGACCTCTTGCCCATATCCACAAACCCAGCCGAGGAGGTCAGGTGACGTTGGGCCACTAGGAATTCTCTTCCCGAGTACCTCGCAGCCACCCAGTGGCCTGGGCAGAAGCCCTTGAGTGGACTAACAAGGTCCTTCCGACGCTTGCTGGAGCATTCAGAGCACTGCAGCAAGAAGAGAGAGCAATCGTGACGTTTAAGCGCCCATTTTACAGACGGGGAAACTGGGGCCCAGGGAAGTTTAACTGCCTTTTGCCCCAGGTTCTGCAGCTACACAGTTCCAGGCTCAGAAAGTCTGGCTCTCCCCTCAGGAGAGCTCACAGCCCCTTTCTCTCTTCTGATGCTTCTTTTTCCCCGTGGGCAGGGGAAAAGCCAGTAACATAATTATTCAGTCCGTCAACGAACATTTGTTGAGCTCCTGCCCTGAGCCACCCACTGTTGTGAGCACTAGGGACAGTCTTGGCCTTGGTGGGGCTTACATGCCATTGGGCGGCAAAGTAAAAGAAATATGTAAGCAAGTAACTGCGTTCAGGTAGTGACGAGTGCTGGGCAGAAAGCCAGATGGGATGATGGGCGGGGCAGAGGCTAGGGGTTAGGGTGGTCAGGGAAGACCTCACGAGGAGGTGACATTTAAGCCGGAGTGCAAGTGAGGACCTGCAGGACTCCAGAGAGCTTCTCCCTACTTCACTAAAAGGCAAAGGAATGCCTGTTGTTCCTGCCCACGGGGAAAAGAAGCATCAGAAGAGAGAAAGGGGCTGTGAGCTCTCCTGAGGGGAGAGCCGGACTTTCTGAGCCTGAAACTGTATAGCTGGTGTGAAGAGCCAGGTGGCAAATCTGGGGATGCTCTTGTTTTGTTTTGTTTTTTGGTAGACTTTATGTTTTAGAGTGGTTTTAGGTTCACAGCAAAATTGAACAGCGAGTACAGAGAGTTCCCATATACCCCCTGGCCCCATATATTCCCCTCCCTCCCCCCCCCCCACCCCCGCCCCCCCCCCCCACCAACCCCCCCCCCACCAGAGTGGCGCATCTGTCCCAGTACGTGAATCCGCTCTGACACATCATGATCACCCCGTGTCCACAGTTTTCATTAAGGTTCGCTCCTGGGGCTGTGCATTCCATGGGTTCTGACAGATGTATGACAACATGTATCCACTGTTATAGTATCATACAGAGTAGTCTCATTGCTCTGAAAATGCCCTGTGCTCAACCTTTGCATCCTTCTCTCTCTCCCTGCCACCCCCCCCCCCCCCCAATCCCTGGCAACAACTGATCTTTTTCCAGAATGTCCTATCCTTGGAATCATACAGTATGGAGCCTCTTCAGATTGACTGCTTTCACTGGCTAATTTGCATTTAAGTTTCCTCCATGTCTTTTTACAGCTCCATCACTCATTTCTTTGAAGCGCTAAATATAAAATTCCATCGTCCGGATGTAGGGGCTGCTTTTGGTTTGGTTTGGTTTTTTATTTGGGCTTTTATCTAGCTTCTCCTTGAAGCAATCTCAGCCTGCAAGTCCTTTCCTTCCCCCCAGGGCTGCACCACCCCCCCGTGCCCAACAGGTGGCCACACCACCCTGTTTTGGCTTTTAACAGCCGATGGCTACGCACGACAGGGATTCTTGGGCGATTGTGTGAGTGAAACAAGGGAGAGACTGTGGCTGCGCCCCCCGGGCCACCTGTCTCTCACTCCCCTGCCCAGGCAACTGCAACAGCTGAGCTACACTTCTGAGTTTGGGGAACGAAGAGGACCTGGAACATTTTTGCCATTTCTGTTCCTTAAGGGAAGAGAAGCTCTAGTGCCTGGCCCTCACACAGTACTGTCTTCTAGAAGACCAGAAACTTCTAGGAAGTTTGGTCCTCACAATGGGATCTGATCCCAAGTAGGTAGTTCTCCGGGCAGACAGCCCTGTTTGTACAGGGGGAGCCTCCCTGGGTGAGGAGAAAGGATGCTGGTATATTTTGATCTTGGGGCTGGCAGCCTAAAAGGAAAAATATTTCCGATGAAGGAGGCTGGTGTCTTTTGTTAGCAAGATTGAACCGTGGCAACAATGAATAGATACACAAAGTGTAATATATGTATATATATAATATATTATATATGTAATATATGTAACATATATTACAATGTATATTATATTATAATACATATTACAATGTATCTACATTACTATATTACAATGTGTATATATTACAATAGATAATATATGTATTACAATATCATGTTATATATATATATATATATACAATGAATATTATTCAGCCTTAGAAAGAGGTAAAATTCTGTTCAACTTTACAGTATGAATCAACCTTGAAAACATTTTGCCAAGTGAAATAATCCAGACACAAAAGGACAAATATTGTACAATTCCATTCATATGAGGCATCTGGAGTGGTTAAATTGAAGGAGACAGAAAGTAGAACGGTGGTTTTCAGGGGCCAGGGGTGGGGATGGAGAGTTATTGTTTAATGGGCACAGAGTTTCAGTTTGGGATGACAAGTTCTGAAAAATAGACAGTAGTCTGTTTGTGATGGTTGCACAACATTGTGAATGCACTTAATGCCACCGAACTGTACATTTAAAAATGATTAAAATGTTAAATATCACGTTATACAGATCTTCCTCCATTTATGATGGGATTATGTCCTGATAAACTCATCATAAACTGAGAATACCCGAAGTCAAGGGGCGCCTGGGTGGCTCAGTTGGTTGAGCAACTCTTGGTTTTGGCTCAGGTCCTGGTCTCCAGGTTGTGAGACTGGGCCCCGCGTCAGGCTCTGCACTCAGCATGGAGTCTGCTTGAGATTCTCTTTCTCCACCCCTCCCCTCACTCATGCGCTCTCACTCTCTCGCTCTCTCAAATGAATAAATAAATCTTGGGGGAAACAAAGAAAATATCCTGAATAGAAAATGCTGAACATCATAGCTTAGTGTAGCCGAACTTAAATGTGTTCCGAACACTGAACATCAGCCTACATTTGGGCAAATCATTGGACGCAAAGCCTATTTCATAATGAAGTCTCGAATATCTTATGTAATTTATTGAATGCTGTGCTGAAAGTAAAAAAAAAAAAAAAACCAGAACACTTGTATGGTTAGAGAGGGTGGTAGGTGTGTTGATCGTTTACCCTCGTGATGGTGTGGCTGGCCGGGAGTTACAGCTCGCTGTTAGTGCTCTCTGTCACAAGAGGGTATCAGCATATCACTGACCTGAGGAAACAGCAATAGTCACAATTTGAAGTACACTTTCTACTGACTGTGTATCACTTTCACACCATCATAAAGTAGGAAAATCATAAATCAAAACTATCATAAGTCTGGGACCGTCTATATATATTTTATCATAAAAAAACTTTTTTGTAAAACTGATTGAACCAGGATCATAAAGTCCACAGAGTTCATCTTGTTCTTTCATGGTTGTTCACACCCCCCCCCCCACACACACACCCCAATCTGACACAGCGTCCTGTGTTTCCCATCACACACTTCAAGCCTGGACATCTCACTATCTTGAAAGAGTGCTGACCGTCAAGTGGAAAGACTGTGCTGGTGTCTAATAACTGAGCCTTCGCTTCCTCATATACAAATGGGGAAAATAACACTTGCCCTATCCTAGTTATAGACTGTCACAAGATCAGTGAAGCCCTCCCTGCTGATAAAGGATCATTAGGTTATCATCCTGTTGACCTTACAGCAGTCCGGTTTTCTTCCCAGCAAAATGAGTTTACTCAGGAATTGAAGAGGAATTGCAATTTGGGACAGGCAAGCTGCAGCAAAAGCCCTAAGCAAGTGGAAGGGCAAAGGAGAGGAACCCTCTTTTATGGAGTAAAAGGGGGAAATTGGAACGGGCTTGTTATAAATGAAAAGTGCATTGGAGTAAACTGGGAGTTTGAAATGTAGTGTCTTTTCATTGGCTGAGTTGTGAGTCTCTCATTGGCTGGGTTGTTGCCCGTTGAGAAGAAAATCTTCCTTCCTCTTGCTAGGGTGGTAAAGTAGGCTTCTTTTGGTTTGGAATTTAAGGTACATCTCTTCCCGTTGGGGCTGCAAAGGGGTATGAGTAGTACAGCCTGAGAGCTCCCCCTTGTGGCCTCCCAACTCCATTTTAAATGAGATTCCCTTGACTCAGTTTCACAATCCTTATTGTCCAGGTCATGGGCTCCAGTTGGGGACAACTCTAATTGTTGGGAAGTTCAGGCAGAATTGTGAAACAGAAAAGGTTACTCTTGGTATCACTTCACCTCTTACATAATATGTCTTAGAATGTCCCTTTCCTTTTAGCAACTTCATACCACATCCAGCCCCTTGTAATTGTGTGCTAACCCCCTGCCCATATCTTATCTCTTGGAACTATGTTAGGAAAAATTCTGTGTGTCTCCTGTACTCATGCCACTAATCACACTTGGAATACTTCTGACACCAGATGTGTGGGTTTTTCCCCCCACAGAGCAATTCTAGGACACCACCTGGATGTCCTAGAATTTAACTCAATTCTGACATTGTCTACCTGGAGGTAGCATCAGGTCCCATAGGTTAAGGTCTCAGTCCTACGAGATTGCCCCCACCCTCTCACTTCTCACTTCAGATGCCACTCGAAAATCCAGGTTGTCATCCATGCTTCTAACTGATCAGCTACAATTTGGAGGTTCCCACAACCCCCTCTTCAGGTTTGATTAATTTGCTAGAGCAGACCACAGAGCTCAGGAAAACAGTTTACTTACTGTTTGCTGGTTTATTGTAAAAGGATATGATAAAGGATACAGATGAGCAACCAGATGGGAGAGATGCATAGGGTAAAACACGTGGGAAGGGGCGAGGAGCTTCCATGCCCTCTCTGAGCACTCCACTCTCCCAGCACCTCCCTGTGTTCACCAACCTGGAAGCTCTCTGAACCCCATACTAGTGAGATTTTATGGAGGCTTCATCACGTAGGTGTGATCAATTATTAACGTCATTTCCAGCCCCTCTCCCCTCTCTGGAGAATGGGGTGTAGGGTTGAAAATTCCAAGGTTCTCCATAATGGTTTGGTCTTTCTAGTGACTAGACCCCATCCAGGAGCCCACCAAGAGTCTCACCTCAATAGAACAAAAGACACTGCTGTCACCCAGGAAATTCCAAGGGATTTAGGAACCTTGTGTAAGGAACTGGGGTCAAAGACCCAATATTAGAACAAAAGATGCTCCTAATGCTCTTATCACTTAGGAAATTGTAAGGGTTTTAGGAATTCTGTCCCAGGAACCAAGGGTAGAGACTGATATACACATTTTTTTTATTATTTTACAGGAACCAAGGTGCTACCTCCTCCAGAAAGCCTTTCCAGATTCTCCCTCCCTCTTCCTTCACCTGAGCCAGGTGGAGTTTGGGGAGCTGTGTGATGAAAAGAATATATAAGTGAAATTGTAAAGACCTAGGTTTGAATTCTGCCACCATTTACTATGCGTGTAACCTTGGCAATCACTTAACCTCTCTGAGCCTCAACATCTGTCTGTAAATTAATGGCAGCAAATTATTTAAGAGGATGGTCATGAGAGTTAAATGATAAAACATAGCCAACAGTGCTAGAAATGTGTGATGCTCAGTACATACTGGTTTCCTTCTTTGAGCTCCCATAGCCCTTTATCTGAGCTTTCAGCCTTGTATTATAGGTATTTGTGTCATTCATTCATTCAACAAACATTTAAATATGAAGGCAATAAGTGTTATGAAGAAAACTAACATAAGTTGAGGGAGGAAGAGAATGTGTATTGTGTTGTTAGTTTGTTTAGGATGGTTAGGAAAGGCCTCACAGATAAGGCATCATGTAGACAGAGTGAGTGAGCCCTGTGGATATCAGATAAATGGGGTGAGAGGTAAGGCCCTGCGGCAGGAACATGCTGATGTGTTTGGGGAACAGCAAGGAAGCCAAGGTGGCCAGATCAGAGTGAGCAGAAGAGGGAGGAGGAAGGGTGGAGAAGTAGCAGGGGCCACACCACACAGTACCTTTGTAGACTGTGACAAGGACTCTGGGTGAGGTGGGAAGCCAATGGAGAGTGTTGACCAGTAGAGTGAGAGAACTGACATAGGTTGTAGAGGGTCCCTTGGCTGCTGTGTGGTATGCCATTGACCGGACAGTAGAAAGGGTTAAAACAGGGAGGATTGATTGGCAGCCTATTGCAGTAATCCAGGTGAGAGATAGTGGCTTGGACCAGGAGAGCAAATAGAGGTAGAAAGAATGGTCAGACTCTGAATATATATTGATTTTGAAAGTAGAGCCAAGAGTACTTGCTGGAGTGTGAGAGAAAGAGCTAATGCCAAGGTGTTTTTGTTTTTGGGTTTTTTGTTGTTGTTCTTGTTTCTTTGTTGTTGTTTTTTTGCCTGAGAAAGTGTGAAAATGGAGTTTCTTTCACTGCAATAAGCAAATCTACTGGAAAAGCAGGCTTGGGTGGGGCAGAGTGGGGATGAGGAATTTGGTTTTGTATTCACCTAGTTGTTTACCATTTCCTATGCTCTTCATTTGTTTCTAATGACCCAAATTTCCCTCTTATATTATTTGCCTTCAGCCTGAGAACTTTCTTTAGCATCTCTTGTGTGAATATTTGCTAATGGTGACTTTTTTTAGTTTCTTGCTTTATCTGGAAATATCTTTCTTTTACCTTCATTTTTTGAAGGATATTTTTGCTGGATATAGAATTCTGGTTTGAAAGTTTTTACTTTCAGTTCTTTAGAGATGGGGGTCCACAGTTTCTGGCCTCAATTGTTACTTTTCCTTTTTTCAGCTTTATTGAGATATAATTGACAAAATTGTAAGATATTTACAGTGTACAACATGTTGATTTGATATCCATATACATTCTGAAAGGATTCCCCTATGGAGTTAATTAACACATCCATCACCTCACCTATTTACCTTTTGGGGAGTGTGGTGATGAGAACATTTCAATTCTACCGTCTTAGAAAAATTCAATTATACAATACAGTATTATCCACTATAGTCACCATGCTCTACATTAGATCCTCAGACCTTAATCTCATAGCTGAAGTTTGTAGTCTTTTACCAACCTATTTCCCCTACCCTCCAGTCCCCTAGCAACCACTTTTCTCCTCTGTTTCTATGAGTTTGATTTTTTTTTTTTTTTTTAAGATTCCACATATAAGTGATACCATGTAGTATTTGTCTTTCTCTGTCTGGTTTACTTCACTCGGCATAATGCCCTCCAGTTTCATCCATGTTGTTGCAAGTGACAGGATTTCCTTTTTAAGACTGAATGGTATCTCATTGTACAAATATATCACATTTTCTTGATTCACCTGTTGTCAGACACGTAGGTTTTTTTCCATGCCTTGGTTATCGTGAATAGTGCTACAATGAACATGGGAGTCCAAATATCTCTTTGAGATAATGGTTTCACTTCTTTTGGAGATACACCCAGAAGTGGGATTGACAGATCATACGGTAGTTCTAGTTTTAATTTCTTGAGGATGCTTCATACTGTTTTCCATAGTGTTTGTACCAGTTTACATTTCTACCAACAGTGTGTGAGCGTTCCCTTTACTCCACATCCTCACTAGCATTTTTCTCTTGTCTTTAGATAGTAGCCACTCTAACAAGTATGAGGTGATATCTCATTGTGGTCTTGATTTGCATTTCCTTGATGATCAGTTATGTTGAATACCTTTTCATGTACCTGATGGCTATTTGTATGTCTTTTTCGGAAAAATGTCTATTTAGGTCCTTCGCCCATATTTTTATTTGGGTTGTTTTTCTGCTATTGAGTTGTAGGAGTTCCTTGTATAGTTTGAATATCACTCCTTTACCAGATATTGGTCTCTATTGTTTGATGAGAAGTCAGGGTTATTTGAGTTGCTCCCCCTGCCCCCATAAGAAATGTAATTTTTTGCTGGCTACCTTCAAGATTTTCGGTTTATCTTTAGTTTACAGCAATTTGACTAGTGTGTCTAAGGAAAGTTTTCTTTGTATTTATCCTACTTGGGATATACTGATCTTCTTGAATCTATAAATGCATGCACGTCTTTCACCAAATTTGAGCTATTATTTCTTCAAAAATTTTTTTCTGTTTGGTAGCCTCTCCCCTTCCAGAGAGGAGTCAGTTACATGTGTTAGACATTTTGGAATTGTTTCTTAGGCTTCTGAGTCTCTGTTCCTTATTTTGTCCCAAGCTTTTTTTTCTCCTTCTTCTTCAGACTGGATGCTTCCTTCTGATCTCACTTAAAGGTCTTTGATTTTTTTTCTCTGGTGTCTTCATTCTATTGTTAAGCCTATCCATTGAATTTTTTATTTCAAATATTGTTTTTTTCAGTTCTAGAATTTTCATGTAATTTTTTAAAATAGAATTTATTTCTCTACTGAAGTTCTCTGTCATTTCATTTGTTATAAACAGGTAATCCCTTACCTCATGAAGCATAGTTATAACAGCTACTTTAAAATTATGATCTGCTAATTCTAACATTTGGGTCATCTCAGGGTCAGTCTCTCTTGATTGTATTTTTTCTTGAGAATGGGTCACAAATTCCATTTTCTTCATATGTTTGAGTAGTTCGGGGGTATTCTTGACATTGTGATGGTGAAGTAGAGACTCTGAATTTTCTTATATAGTTTCCCCCCAAATGCTGACTTTTGGATTGTTTGAGTTGGCAACTAACTTGATTGGCTCAAACTGTAAATTGTCTCTTGGGCCACAGCTCAGATCTCAATTCAGTACTTTTATTTTTATCTGGGCCACTTAAGCCTAACTCATGCATGCATGGTTCAGAAATTGGCCAGAGATTTGCACAGAGTTTATAATACAGAATGTGTGGTTCTTCCTTTCTGGCTCTCTTTTCCTGGGTTCCTCCCCTCACTTTCCAAAGGCTGAAGTTGCCTCAAACTCTATCCTTTGATTCTTCAGGCCAGAAGTACTGGCCTTTTCATTTTATCTTTCACTTTATCTGTCCTGTGTGAATCTACTGTGGCCTGCCTTTAGGTTAAAAGCCATAAAAAAAAAAAATAGAAAGTCATCCCATGCATTCATTTTTCCAAGTGTTGACTCCTCTCCAGAAACTCCATGTTTCTGTTCACTCTCCAGAACCTTCAGGTAGTTGCTTTTTTGTGTGTGTGTTTTGTTCAGAGTTCATCATTGTTATTTGCAGGAGTTTGTCTTCTAGGAGCTTACTGAGTTACCCTGCAACCAGAACTGTCAGTATTTTTGTTTTGGACACATCAAGTTTGAGATGTCCATTAGACATCCAAGTGGAAATATTCACTAGCCAGTTGGATATGCACCTGGAGTTCCAGGGAGAAATAATTTAACACTTGGAAGGATATAGATGGTGTATAGTCACCATCTTGGCTTGATAAAGCCAATCAAGATATGAGTATACATGTAGAAGAGAAATAAGCCCAGAACCAAACCCAGGTGCATTGCAGGGTGCATGATGAGGAAGAATTAGCAAAGCAGATCAAGAAAGAGTGGACTGTGAGGGGCAAAACCCCCAAGAGAGTGTTGTCTTGAAGTCCAACTAAAGAAAGTATTTCAAAAAAAGACAAAGTAGTCAACTGTATTAAAGCTGCTAATAGGTTAAGATAAAGATTGAAAACTGACTACTGGATTTAGCAATATGAAGGTCACAGAAAGCCTGAGAATAGTTGTTTTGTTCAAGTGGTAGAGTGAGAACTCACTGAAATGAAATGAAGAGCTGGAGTCCAGGAGCATGGAGAATTCTTCCAAGGAATTTTACCATCAAAGAGAGAAGAAAAATGGGATTGAAGCTGGAGGGGGATATGAAGTCTAGAGAAGTTTTGTTTTAATTTTTTTTTAAGATTTTATTTATTTGAGAGTGAGAGAGAGTACAAGCAGGGGGAGGGGCAGAGGCAGAGGAAGAGGGACAAGCAGTTTCCCCACTGAGCAGGGAGCCTGACGTGGGGCTTGATCCCAGCACCCTGAGATCATGACCTGGGCTGAAGTCAGACGCCCAACCGACTGAGCCACCCAGGTAGGTGCCCTTTAATTTTTGACATCGGGAAAAATCATACCATGTTGGTATGCTAAAATAGGTCATGGTTGAGAGAGAATAACTGGAGTGTGGAGAGAGAGAGGAAATAGGGTCCTGTGCACAAGTAGAGAGTTGTCCTTAGATAGAATTATGAGCAGCTCATCCATAGCAGTTGGAAGCATGTAGAGATGCTGTTGCATGTTGGATGTGATGAGGGTGAGGAGGAGACCATGAGGGGACCTAGCCTAGGGGGCACTCAAAAGAGGCAGCAGGCCAAAAAGAAATCTCTTTTATTTCTTTTCTTTTTTGAGAGAGAGTGTGTGCATGGGGGAGGGGGGTTTGGGAGTAGGGGGATGAGCAGAGGAAGAGGGAGGGAGAGAATCTTAAGCAGGCTCCATGCCCAGCACAGAGCCCAAAACCGGCCTTGATCTCTTGGTCTCA